GCAAAGCGGCAGCGGGGCAGAGGCACCTGGAGCAGCTTTTCTCGCCCTGGAGGTCGAGGTGGCGGGATCGCTGAGCTCTGGGCAGTCCCGCTGCCTGCGAGCTCCGGGGCGAGAAAGCCCCGTTCGTAAGTGCGGATCCGACATAAGTCGGATCCGCGTAACTTGGGGACTGCCTGTAGTCCTCCATCCAAGTTACTTTTAAGTGTCTAAAGCAAAGAAGCTTGCCCCACAACCCTTGCAGTGTTGATGATGGGCATTTACATAACATTTACCTTCAAAATGTTGTATGAATATTAAGTAATTATATTAGCCACAATATTTACACAGCCCGTTTTCACAAGCACTTTTCAAAGGAAAGACAAATGTTTATTGGGGAAAACAACAATCAAGGAAATTGCACCACATGGAATTCAGGGGGCTTGGGAAGGTTAGGAGTTTCTGTGTACAGCTGAACAGACCAAGACCCTCTTTCATATCAGGGAAGTTAAAGATGCGTGTAATTAAATAACTGTGTAACTGCTGCCGCCTGCTGCTCCATGCTGCTGCCTCTGATTGATACCAGGAGCCTGCATGCAACCGTGAACGTTAAATGATGAGCCCAGGCTCATCAGTTAACAGTTTACACGATTACACTTTCACATCCCTATTTCATATCTCACCATCTGACAACCTCATCTGCAGATCTGTCATCCTACAGTCCAGCTTGACATTTTAATAATCAGCTTTTCCTTTCTTCAAATAAATTAAGTCTTTTGTTGATGACAGACCTCCAGGACAGATTGTACTAAACTAATTTCTGGAACATGACTGCAGTTCTGGGGGCTGTGGATTGCAAATTTTCACAGAAAAGCGAAGCCATTAGTGGAAATTGTGTAAACAGCAAAAATAGGAGAATACATACAGGCAAGGGAAATGGTTACAGCCATAGAAAACCTTCCTTATTAAGTGTAAAGATCAGGATTTTTTAGCTTAAGGAGGGGAACCAGATAGAGGTGCGTGGTATTTGGTTTCATTGGGCCTGGGCCTGGCAACTCTTAATCACATGAATAATGCCACTGTAACATTTCCCAGGACAATCTGAACCACTGTGTCCCCTGATGGGAGGCAAGGGACATTTGGCGCAATCTGGACCACTGTGTCCCCTGATGGGAGGCAAGGGACATTTGTCCTCCCTTTTTATTCCTCAGACATTTATGCTGAAAAAAAATCCTTGCTTGGTCATGGAAGAAGGCAGTTCCACTACAAATAAAAGCATCAAACTGCCCTTCAGATTATTTGCAGACTTCTTGTTTACAACTTTCTCCCTGCTGGAGAATGTCTGATTAAGCTTGTAATGAGTCTTTAGCACTTTGCTGGTATGGCATGCCACTGTGTCTGTGTCTGAGAAACTGGTTTGTGTGTACTGTTCAAAATCTTAACATGTTTCAGTAATAATCATATAATAATACAATCTCAATTTTACATTATATATGGAGATATACCTATCTCATAGAACTGGAAGGGATCTTGAGAGGTCATCGAGTTCCAATCACCTGCCCTCACGGCAGGACCAAGTACCATCCCTAACAGATTTTGCCCCAGATTCCTAAAATTGCCCCCTCAAGGATTGAACTCACAACCCTGGGTAACTACATGCAATGTTGCTACCCACATTTCAAAGGGATAGTAATATTCAGCAAATTATGAGTTTTCAAATGATCCTTCGCAGGACATACTTTGTGCAAAATATAACAATCATATAAAAGTGGTGAACATCGGATACAAGGTGTTACAATCAGTGAGGCAATAAAGTCTGCAGGATCAAACCCTGTGTTAATGAGAATAACTACAAACTTTATTCTTGGACATAAAAGTACTGATCTTTTGAGGTACTGAGTACCTACTGCATGGAGCTGAATACTCTCAACTCCCACTGGATAGCCCATTTCCCCCCATTAACATAAAGGACTAACCCTTAGCCAAATTGCAGTATCTGAATGTGAAGCTTACCCCAGAGTCCTGCTTACTGCTGCCATCCTGCTCTTAGGTAGAACCACAGAAGCCAAAGGAACAACTGCAATGAGGGCTGTGCCTAGAATACTGGATTTAATTGCTGCATGAAACTATTCTGTAAAGTTCTTCAAGGTAAGTGATCCAATTGTTCCACCACAGCTCTGCACTATACACATTCTTCTCTTTGTAGGTAGCCTAATGACCAAAAAGAGATGGATCAAGTAACGCAGCCTTTCCTTCTGACTTTAATCAAATCTGTTTTGAAACTGCCCATTTAAAAAAAAAAAAAGTACAATTCTGAGGTAGCTAATTATCCAAAGTTTTGGAAAGTGTTTTAAGATGAAAAGTTAGTGTAAAGGAGAATGATTTCACTTTCTTTCTCTGCAAAATTATAGCATATGGCTACTTAACTCAGGCCAATCTGTGCCCTACATTCTTTGATCTTTCCAGGTAACAGCGGTGCGACTTGCATTAAAGCAGAAACAGGAGATAAGGCAGATATCAATGTATGACATTTAATTTTCTGCAGCAACATTTCTCAGAGCAACTAGCAAGTTCATATAATTCTTCATCAGGTTTCAATATTAAACTTTAAAAAAAAAAAAAGCGAATTCTCTCATACATCATCTGGAAACTGGCTAATTTCTAGGGGCCACTGGAGTTGCTGTACCAAAGGAGAACAGCTGTTTTCTGATTGCTGACAGATAGATGCTGTTGCAATAGAGCTCTGCCCCTCTTCTCCCCAAAACCTCCAATTCCTCCCATATGCCAGGGACCAGTACAGAGCACAGAGCTCAACGTGGCAAGGCAATAATGGCAGCTGAGAGGAGAGAACCAATGGCAGAAAAACTGCTTTATCAGGGAGGGATCATCCATGGTAGAGGGGAATAACGTGGCTGGTGATTCCTGGCTTGCACCTGGTCCCCCGCTGTGCCTTGCCTCCCCTCCCCCTCTCTTACTCCACTTTAAAAAGCAGAGGTGCAGCGTCTGGGACCCGGCATGAGCCAGGACAGCTGATTCCCAGTTTGTGCCCATTCCCCCACTGCACCTCTGCCTTTTAAATGGTGCAAAAGCCAGGCAGCTCTTACTACATTTAAAAGGTAGAGCCAAAGCGGGATTAGTGGCTGTTCCCCTCTCTTCTCTACTAATCAAGTAGTTGATGGAAATTCCATCGACTACTCAATTAGCTGATTAAATCCATTTTAACATCCCTAATCAGGAATTCATTTGGCCCAGTATTTTCCACCTATAAAATCCTTCAGCCATTCTGAGCCATCTTTGGTTTCATTAGCTAGGGTGCTGGGTGAATTTTAGGGACAAATCGCATATCGCAAGCTGGGAATCTCTGGGCAGGAGCCTCCTTCCTATACGCTTTCATGGCTAGTCCTTGTAGCAGGGCCATGGCTAAACTCACACGTAAGAACTTAAGCTTTTCACTTCTCCGACTCTAAAATCTCCTTAATGCTCCCATGCAACAGCGTCCTAGCCCGTCCCTGCCTCTCCTGACTCCGTTCACACACGAAGTGCAAGCACCAGCCGTGGCCTGACTTGTGTTGTGGCAACGCCTGGAGGTCTCTACCAGGATCAAGCCCCGGCGCAGCAGGATGCTCTACGGACACCTATGGGATTAAGAGCGGATCCATCCTCTCTTGCATGGGCAGGGCCAGAGGGAGGGGTTGCACCTGCAACGCCCATGACCCTAAAGCATCCCACCGGGAAAATCCAGACCCACGAGGACTGAGGGGGAGAAGGAGCAGGAAGGAGCGGGGG